CCCTCAGGGATCGATCCTAGGACCTATACTTTTTCTAATATATGTAAACGATCTAGTAAAATATTTACCTAACTGTTATGTCATTCAATATGCTGACGATACTCAAATCTTAATTGAAGGAGAAATTAATGATTTAGAAAATATTATTCGTAGAGCAGAAGAAATTTTGTATATGGCTAAACGTTACTTTCTAAAAAATGGTCTGTTACTTAATGAAACTAAAACCCAATCTATTCTTATCGGATCCAGACAATTATTATCAGAAGTTGATGACAATCTTCATATAAATTTTAACGGTAATATCATTAAGCCAATGAACTCGGTAAAGAACCTAGGTGTCTATTTTGACCGTTACATGAATTTTGAAATGCATATAGATGAAATTTATAAAAAAGTAATGGGTACTCTATTTAAATAGGGTAAAAGACTCATTTGAAACATAAACTCGTATAATAATTGCCCAGTCCTTAGCTATGAGTTTAATTAATTACTGTCTCAAAGTTTGGGGATGTACAAATAAGACTCAATTACAAAGAATACAAAAGTTACAAAACTTTGCAGCACGAGTGGCTGTTGGCAATGTAAGAAAATACGAGCACATCTCTCCTGTTTTAAAAGATCTAGAATGGATAAAGATTAGAGATAAATATGTTTTTGATATATGTACCTTTGTTTTTAATATACTAAGAAACAATCTTCCTGATTGCTTGTATAATTTTTCTACAGTAAGCTCAGTTACCGGGTTAACTACCCGTCAAGGGGAAGATTTATTAGTACGAAGGTCTAAAACTGATATTGGCTCAAGAGATATAAACATTCGTGGACCTCATTTATATAATCAGCTTCCCAGAGAACTAAAAAATGCTGGTTCAGTGTATACTTTTAAATATAATCTTAAGAAGTTACTCTTAAAGGAAGATTTTACTTGTAAATTTTAATAGTACACCCATCTTTATGATTTGTTTGTTTTAGTATGTCTATATCGTACACCACAGATGTCTATCTGGAATATATATGCATCTTATTTGAATACCCAATGTACGTTGGAAATAAAGTCTTATTATTATTATTATTATTATTATTATTATTATTATTATTATTGTATCAACCTCCTGCGAGGCGTCAACGAAGAGGGGGAGTAGAGGGGAGAATAACTTCTCTCCAAACTTTCCTTTCTTGACGTCGGCTACCCCCCAATTTAAGGGGGAAACAGCCACGGTATATGTATGTATGTACATATTAGCAGCTCACGAATCCCTCATAAATATATACATGTTTGCTTATGCATTTGATATTAATTTTCTTTTATAGAGGTCTTAAGTTCGAGATCGTTTGTAGGCCTCTACCGAAACTGTGTGAGGATTTCCGAATTTATGAGGCTATGAGATCGAAGGTTAATAACATATCAAATCGTCCACATTAATAGTAATAATAATAAAAATAATGATAATAATGATGATGATGATGATTGTCTTGAATATATTTCAAGACAGTTTATTTCTACGTACATTGTGTAAGTGTTATTTTGCACATAGTTTCGTTTATTTGTAACGTAAGTGCATATATGTATACTTTTTAGACTTAGTGTGTGTACCTATTCATTTCTATCATGTATACACGTATATTGGTATGTATAATGTGTAGTTTATTATGGAGGCTGGCTGTAGAAGACTTGGAGAAAGGAATGTTAGTCGCTAATGGATTTTAGCCATTAACCCTTCACCTCCTTGATAACGCTTATTGCATCGCCTGTCTAAACAAAGAACCGTTGTAAGCAAGTCATAACTCAAGTTAGTCCTAATATCAAGGACCCCTACAAAAACGAGGGGAGTCTGTGCAACTTGCTCACAAATGTTTGTTGTTCTCGTGGGGCGTTACAAGACACTCAAGTAGAAAACGTAATAGAGATATTCGAGTTTAATTCGGAGTCCCGTGATTGCTGACGAAATCAGGGTTATCCGGATAGATGAGTACAGATTTACCTTATTTCTAACAATATTTAAAACTACGTGTGAGGGACAGAATGAGCTCATTTAATTAAACACTCGTAGGTAGAATATATGTTATAAAATTTATTATTCTGTATGAAGTAGTTTTAATTTAAGGTGAGGAGAGTTTATTTAAATATTCACATATCGGCAGTTCATAAACCCCCTTATAAAATATTTGCATGTATGTCTATGCATGTAATATTAACTATATTTTATTGGTAGAGGATTTAATTTTGAGATCGTGGTAGGACTCTACTGAAGCCTTGTCAGGATTTCCGAATTTAGGGGGTTATAAGATCGAAGGGTATTAACACAGGAGATCCTCCACAATGATGATGATAATAATAATAATAATAATAATAATTAATAATAATGATAATAATAATAATAATGCATATTGGAGACTGTTTCACTCATGAGTATACTATTTGTAATCGCATAAGCTGCATTATTTATAAAATTATCAATTACCGAGCAAACACAATGTCAGCATATCTGAAATAACTCCTTATTACAGTTGGAAATAAATTAATTTTCTAATCCCCCATCTCTCGTATTTTGTTTCGATGAATGAAA